TATATATATATATATATATATATATATATATATATATATATATATATATATATATATGTATTAATAACTAAAAGACTAAATGGATAGAGCGAATTTAATGGAGGGAAAGAGAACTTTCGCAATTTACTAGACTAGGACTCGAACACGGAACTGTCGCTTGCCGAATTGTCGATCTAGATCATCGCTCTACACATTGATCTATCCAGGCCCTTGAGCCTTGAGGAAACACTGTTTCCTTTAAATATTTATCTTACACTGCACTATTTACGCCTCTCTCCATAGCTCGGATAACAACGGCAAGATAATGTCTGTAACACTCGTAACAATTGAAACAAAAAAAGGAGTCTAACGTTTCATCATGTATTGTCGAAACACGATATTCCTCATTATCTTTCGCGCGAAAATTTCAAACGCCAATTTAGCAAATAATATTCTTTAACCTTTAGATTTCCGGGAAAGCCAATTTTGTGGCGTTTGAGTTTGGATTAATATAATAATATTTTTCGTGATATTTTAAATACTAATTGTATTAAAACATATATGTGTATAGCCTACGCAATGCGTAGCTGTTCGATGCCTGCTTCGCGCTTGTTCGCACTTACGTCGCCAAAACATATCCTCTAATTGTAATGCTCTATTATGTCGCCAAAATATATCCTCTAATTGTAATGCTCTATTATGCATAACATCCTGCTTTGAAAATTATCATTTAAAAGAAATTTTATCATAATTACGCAAAAAAGTCAAAATAAAAAAAATAATAAAATGCACAAAAGAATATAAATATTAAAAAATATAAAAAAGTAAAAAATTGTAAAACAAGCAAAAAAAATACAAAAATGAAATATTAAAAAACCAAACAAAAAAGACTGCATGAATCTATATGTTTATATTTATTTATGTTGTTAATATTGCACTTAGGATAAGAAATTTCATAAATCTATCCTCAGAATTGGAATCAGCGATATCAAAAAATCCCAAATACATTATTTTTGAGAAAATAAAAATTCTTTATATTTAATCGTGCGTTCCCTGCCGGGTAAACCACTTTTGTGGCCCTAGGCAAATCTCAAAATTTTGAGCCACGTATGTTATTTATACAGAAAAATTTCTAAGAAAAAAACCAATTTTTAATAAAAAATGCTGGCAGCCTAAAGGTTAATGAATTATATTGTGGTACGTTACTTAGCCCCTTTCTAAATCAATTTAGTGACGACGTCATTTTATTAAAGAAAAATATTTTCGAACGTTTTACAAAAGATTTGACTCGCTGATGTTGTGTCTGCATCTTTCGTGGAATATGAAAAAAAATGGACCTGGACAACTACTTCTTCGGGCGACCGCTTTAGATGTCACAATTAAGCTATCTAGACAATTTTAGAAAGCTCCTCAACTCCTCCTTAACTGCTACCTTATTGCAGTATGTCTTTACCATCAGATCTGCCAAAGCAGATCCAATTAGACATACTGCATACTTTTTTATCACAAATTTGATGAGCTATTTTGGGGAAATGTTTTTACAGAAATATTACACTAATTATTAAATTTATATTAATATTTAACATCAAATACAACATGTAAACATTTATGAAAGACCAATTATTGCTTTTATTGCAATTATTATAATTATTGCTGTATATTAAGGAACTTTCACAATTTACTAGACCGGGACTCGAACCCGGAGCTGTCGCTTACCGGATTGTCGATCTAGATCATCGATCTACACTGATCTATCCAGGCCCTCGAATAAATACTGTTTCATTTAGGTATTTATCTTACATTGCGCTGCTTAAACCTCTCTCCATAACCCGGATAACAATGGCAAGATCACGTCTGTGAAGCACAATCGGAACGAAGAAAATCTAGCGTTCCATTGTGTACGGTCGAAACACGATATACTTCATTATCTCTCGCGCGAAAATTTAAAACGCCGATTTAACAAATAATATTTTTTAATAAATCAGATTATGGTTAGCTCCTTTCTAAATTAATTTTGTGATATCATTTTATTAATGAAAAATACTTTCGAACGTTTTACAACAGATTTCGCTTGCTGACGTTACGTCTGCATTTTTTTGGTATACGAGAAAAAATGGACTTGGACAATTACTTCTTCGACCGCGATCGCTTTAGATATCACAATTAACCTACCAAGTTAATCTTTAAAAGCTCTCCGTATATAACTATAACTAGTGCAATATGCTCGTATCATCAAGTCTACTAAGGCAAATATGAAGAGACTAACAAATATTGCAATTTTACCCTGTAGTTATTAATGTTAGTCTTATTAAAAGCTTATCTCTACTAATACTGTTAATATGTTTATGTTAATACTGTTAATACTGTTTTTACTGCTATATGTTAAACAATATATCAGAGAAAATTTTACAATATTAATCACTTATTCTAGATTTTGTAACTTATTCTATTTTGGTATTAAATTTTCATTGGTGTCATTGTGTAACCCTATGAAGTTGTAGAAACTACATCATAACATCACAGAGGATCATAACATATTACAGAATAGTGTTCTCAATAAAATCGATAAGATTATAAAAAGAGCTTTCGCAATATACCCCTGTAAAGTCGTAGAAACAACAGAGGATCACAATATATCACAGAATGGTTTTCAATAAACTCGATGTGAGTATAAAGAAAGCTTTCGCAAATTAAACAGGACCGAAACTTGAACGCGAAACTGTCGCTTGCCGGATTATCGATCTGAATCATCAATTTATAGACCAACTTATCCAGGTCCTCGAGTAGACTCTGTTTCGTCCAGATATTTATTTTATACTGTTTACACCTGTCGCCCATAACTCGAATAACAATGGCAAGATCACGTCTGTAAAACACGTAACAATTGAAACAAACAAAGAGTCTAGCGTCCCATCGTGTATCGTCGAAATACGATATTCTTCATTATCTCTCGCGCGAAGATTTCAAACACCTATTTAACAAATAATACTCTTTAATGAATCAGTTTGTGGTACGTTGCTTCGTCTCTTTCTAAAACATTTTGATGACGACGTCATTTTATTAAAGAAAAAGAAAAAAACGTTCGAACGTTTTACAAAAGATTTGACTCGCTGATGTTGTGTCTGCATCTTTCGTGGGATATGAAAAAAAAATGAACTTGGACAACTACTTCTTCGGACAACCGCTTTAAATGTCACAATTAAGCTCCATAGTCAATTTTTGAAAGTCTCTTCAAACTTAATGCTAATGCAATATGTCCGTACTATCAGATCTGTCAAGGCAGATCCGGTTAGGCAAACATATTGCATATATAATAATTATAATATTGCTTATTACACGTACTTTTTGTTGACAGACATATTTTATTGAAACTTTATATATTAACACTAATATAACAAGCTATATACAGCAAATAAAGATATACAGAAAGAAATGGATTAGGGCAATGATAAATATCATAGCCCAATATTGACCAGCTTGGTAAGAGAGCTTTCTATTCAATTTACTAGACCGGGACTCGAACCCGGAACTGTCGTTTGCCGGATTGTTAATCTAAATCATCGATCTACACACTGATCTATCCAGGCCCACTGATTCACCGTTTTGTTTAGGTATTTATCTTACACTGTGCTGTTTACGCCTTTCTCCATAATCCGGATAACGATGGCAAGATCACGTCCGTAAATCACGTAATAATCGGACCGAAGAAAGAATCTACCGTTCCATCGTGTATTGTCGAAACACAATATTCTTTATCATCTCTCTCGCAAAAATTTCAAACCCTAATTTAAAAAATAATAGTTTTTAATGAATCACATTGTTGTACGTTGCTTAGTTCCTTTCTATATCAATTTAGTGACGACGTCATTTTATTAAAGAAAAATACTTTCGAATATTTTACAAAAGACTAGACTCGCTGACGTCATATCTGCATCTTTCGTGGGTTATGAAAAAAAAAATGGACTTGGACAATTACTTCTTCGGGCGACCGCTTTAGATGTCACAATTAAGCTATCTAAACAATTTTAGAAAGCTCTCTAATATTTATTACTAGTGCAATATGCATGTACTATCAGACCTACCAAAGTAGATCCTACAAGCGCATATTGCATTTTATTTATTTGTATTATCAACTATGAAAGAGTGTGTGTAAGACGACTAGGTGCGATGACCTAGTAATATTTATTTCTTATTTAATATTGAAAGCAGTTATATACAGCAGAACACATACACACACAATATATATCTATGATATGTTGGTGATTGTAATAAATCCTAAAATTGGAATGAGTTGGAATGTTAGAAGACTTAATGGACGGAAAGAGAGCTCTCGCCAATTTACTAAGACCGGGACTCGAACCCGGAACTGTCGCTTGCCGGATTGTCGATCTAGATCATCGATCTACACATTAATCTATCCAGGCCTTCGAGTAAACACTGTTTTGTTTAGATATTTATCTTACACTGCGCTATTTACGCCTCTCTCCATAGCTCGGATAACAACGGCAAGATCATGTCTGTAACACACGTAACACTCGAAACAAAAAAAGAGTCTAGTGTTCCATCGTGTATTGTCGAAACACGATATTGCCTATCATCTCTCTCGTGAAAATTTCAAATACCGATTTAAAAAATAATATTCTTTAATAAATCATACTGTAGTATGTTGTTTAGCTCCTTTCTAAATCAATTTAGTGACGACGCCATTTCATTAAAAAAAAATATTTTCAAATGTTTTACAAAAGACTTGACTCGCTGACGTCATGTCTGCATCTTTCGTGGGGAAAAAAAAGAACCTGGACAATTACTTCTTCGGGCGACCGCTTTAAATGTCACTATTAAGCTACCTAGTCAATTTTTGAAAGCTCTCTAAGAGATTAATTACTTACACAATATGCCTACCAAGTCGATCAGACCTACAAAGTAGATACGAAACGACAAGAGCATATTGTTTCTAATTATTGCTTAATTTTAGATTGGTCCCCTCTACCTTTTCCACAGTAATATAATATTATGTCCTAATACAAAGCAGTGTATTAACAGCAGAACGGAATTTAATAAACAGAAATATACATGTACCGAAATATATACCTCGGCACACACACAGTAATATATATATATATGAATAGACACATATACATATACTTCTCCGCATTTTTAAGAAAGGTGAAAAATTATATGCAAATGGAAGACTAAGTTTCTAATGGACGGAAAAAGAGCTTTCGCCAATTTCCTAGACCGGGACTCGAACCCGGAACTGTCGCTTGCCGGATTGTCGATCTAGATCATCGATCTACACACTGATCTATCCAGGCCCTCGAGTAAACACTGTTTTGTTTATATATTTATCTTACACTGCGCTATTTACGCCTCTCTCCATAGCTCGGATAACAACGGCAAGATCATGTCTGTAACACACGTAACACACATAACACGTAACGAAACAAAAAAAGAGTCTAGTGTTCCATCGTGTATTGTCGGAACACGGTATTGCCTATCATCTCTCTCGTGAAAATTTCAAATACCGATTTAAAAAATAATATTCTTTAATAAATCATATTGTGGTACGTTGCTTAGCTCCTTTCTAAATCAACTTAGTGACGACGTCATTTTATTAAAGAAAAATATTTTCGAACGTTTTACAAAAGACTTGACTCGCTGATGTTGTGTCTGCATCTTTCGTGGGATATGAAAACAAAATGAACTTGGACAACTACTTCTTCGGACAACCGATTTAAATGTCACAATTAAGCTATCTAGTCAATTTTTGAAAGTCTCTTTAAACTTAATGCTAATGCAATATGTCCGTACTATCAGATCTGTCAAGGCAGATTCGGTTAGGCAAACATATTGCATATATAATAATTATAATATTGCTTATTACACGTACTTTTTGTTGATAGACATATTTTATTGCAACTTTATATATTTACTTTATATAACACTAATATAACAAGCTATATATAGCAAATGAAGATATACAGAAAGAAATGGATTAGGGCAATGATAAATATCATGGCCCAATATTGACCAGCTTGGTAAGAGAGCTTTCTATTCAATTTACTAGACCGGGACTCGAACCCGGAACTGTCGTTTGCCGGATTGTTAATCTAAATCATCGATCTACACACTGATCTATCCAGGCCCACTGATTCACCGTTTTGTTTAGGTATTTATCTTACACTGTGCTGTTTACGCCTTTCTCCATAATCCGGATAACGATGGCAAGATCACGTCCGTAAATCACGTAATAATCCGACCGAAGAAAGAGTCTACCGTTCCATCGTGTATTGTCGAAACACAATATTCTTTATCATCTCTCTCGCAAAAATTTCAAACCCTAATTTAAAAAATAATAGTTTTTAATGAATCACATTGTTGTACGTTGCTTAGTTCCTTTCTATATCAATTTAGTGACGACGTCATTTTATTAAAGAAAAATACTTTCGAATATTTTACAAAAGACTAGACTCGCTGACGTCATATCTGCATCTTTCGTGGGTTATGAAAAAAAAATGGACTTGGACAATTACTTCTTCGGGCGACCGCTTTAGATGTCACAATTAAGCTATCTAGACAATTTTAGAAAGCTCTCTAATATTTCTTACTAGTGCAATATGCGTGTACTATCAGACCTACCAAAGTAGATCCTACAAGCGCATATTGCATTTTATTTATTTGCTTTATCAACTATGAAAGACTGTGTGAGACGACTAGGTGCGACGACCTAGTAATATTTATTTCTTATTTAATATTGAAAGCCGTTATATACAGCAGAACACATACACACACAATATATATCTATGATATGTTGGTGATTGTAATAAATCCTAAAATTGGAATGAGTTGGAATGTTAGAAGACTTAATGGACGGAAAGAGAGCTCTCGCAATTTACTAGACCGGGACTCGAACCCGGAACTGTCGCTTGCCGGATTGTCGATGTAGATCATCGATCTACACAGCGAGCTATCCAGGCCCTCGAATAACACTGTTTTGTTTAGGTATTTATTTTACTCTGCGCTGTTTACACTCTTATTATCCACAGTTCGGATAATAATGGCAAGATCATGTTTGTAAAACACGTTATAATCGAAACAAAGAAAGAGTCTTCCATTGATATCATGTCTACATCTTTCGTTGAATATGAAAAAAAACGGACCTGGACAATTATTTCTTCGGACAACCGATTTAGATGTCACAATTAAGCTACCAAATTTCTGAAAGCTCTCTAATGTTAACTATTAATGTAATACGCCTGTATCATCACATCTACCAAAGCAAATCCTATGAGACAAACATATTATTGCTTATTATAGAGAACATTATTGTTTATAGAAGTATTTTAACTCCATATATTAACACTTATATAATAAGCGATATACATCATATACAGCAAATAAATATATTTATAGAAAGAAATATAAACATAAAATTTAAATATATATATATATATATATATATATATATATATATATATATATATATATA